GTTTGTTTCTTTGTTCAAATTCGTTCAAATGTTTTATTTTTACTCTTCGTGGTAGCTTAATTAATCAGGATATGGCTTTGCATTTGGATAGCTTATTATGCTAGGCTGCAAGTTATGGGGATAAGTAATAGCTCTTATGTGATCAAGTCAGGATGTGGAATTACTTGGTATAGATGAAGTCGTACGTAAATAACTTTTAAAGGTTGAGGTCGCTTGTTGGCTGTATGGTTTGAATCTTTCACCTGAATTCTTGTTACTTTTTTCTGTCGTAGCAACGAAGTCGAAGAGTATAAAGTGACATGGTGTTTGTTGGTTGCATTTTTTTTTTTCCACCACTGATGTTTGGGGATATCGATTGGGACGTTCAAGAAGGGTTTTCTTTTTTCTTTTTTTTTTCTTTCCTCAAGTATATGGTAGCTTCTCTATAGTTTTTGGATGGTTTTTCTTCGTGTTTGTGCTTCATCTTTCCATGTTGTTGATGTTTTAGTTCACTATTTTGGTTTAATTTTGAGTGTTGGTTTGTGAGCCACGTGGGCTCGATTCTCAAATTTGTTTAGGAATTTGTTTTTAAAAGTTGGGGATTTGCTCGAGTCACAGTCTCCCGCATGATAGGTATGAGCAATCCTGTTGTGAAGCAACGTAGGTTTTATCACATTGTTCTTTCTTGTGTCACATTTTATTTTCTGACCGACTGATTTGAACTGTTTATGATTATTTTGGATTTTGGCCTTTGTGATTTCAATTTGGGTAGGGGGTGGGTGGGTCTATTAACTTGTTTTGTTTAGTTATGCAATTTGTTTACGACTCAAGCCGAACAATCGTGTGCCAGGTGATGTAGTCCTTATAAAGTTTTTGTTCATTTCTTTCTTTTGCAGGGTGGGGAGGGTTCTAATCTTTTTTTTTGTTCAGCAGATGATTCCGTGTGAACGCGGCTTCGTCGGCAATGTTCTCGTTAAGGAAATCAGGCACTTTTTTATTAGGGAAGGACTGTAACGTTTCTTTTAGAGTACTGTTGCGCACGTCTCCGTGATGATTCAGATCCAGGCAATTTTTTAAAGCTTTTTGGTAGGGGTGGCCTTAAAATCTTTTTTTCATTTAGTATTTTCTACTCGCCTCGGGCCGATTCGCGACATGCGAGATTCAGGTTAAATGTTTTTTTCTTTTTGATGGGGGGGTGGGATCTAACTACTTTTTTTAGTATGAATTGATTTATGAAAGTATGAAATCAAGAATGAGGCGCTTGTGAAACCGATAGAAAGTACGCCTGTTTTTCGGTGCTCCTAGCGACACTGTCTTTCTACGACCCACACCATGTGGAGGAACAGTTATGAAATCTGATTCTAGTATTCTTTTGTGATCAAAACTTTTTTCTTTTGTACAAGTATGTTCGGGGAGGTTGGGATAATCGGTATTTTTATTTAGATGTTTTTAATTTGTTTCGGTATATGATTCATCACTTGTTCCAATGTGGTGCGGTTTTCGAAGATATATAGTTTTCGTTTGAGTGGTTGTCGTAAGCCTTATCCTTTTCGTTCCAGTTGGATTTTGTTTGTGCATCCTTTCTTTGCGTGGTGTTTTGTACACAACATTGCAAAAAGCATTTGAAAAAAATATACCGATAAGGCATTGGTGAGCATTTTTCCTTTTTCCTTTTTTTTTTTTTGACTGTGATAATGTTCTTTAGATATGAACGGCTAGGTAAAGAATTACACTGATTGTTGCGGAAAAAGTTGCCAAGGCGTAAGTGCTTTCTGCAGTGTTCATTCCTTTTTCTGTTTGTGTGTCTGAGTGTTTGGGTCTTTTGTGGGTCTGGGCACGAATAAATGTTTTGTTCGCGTGTTCCACACAATAGAGTAGGGTTAGTGCTTGGCGCAGATGCTGCTGCCGAGCGAGGTCTAAGGATAAAAAATAATGATTTATTGGAATAGTAACAATATCTGGTGCATTCTTGTGTATATGATCTTCTTATTTCAAATTGGTTCCATTTTCCTTTAAATTTGATGAGCTTTTTGGCTCAGAGGGATGTTTAGTTGTGATGTTTTACAAGCCAAGGATCGGTTATGATACAGCAGTGAAGATGAAACATTGTGAAATTGACAAGTTAAAACCAAGGACGGGCTAGAAATTCTGTACAATGAACTGGCGGTGCGTTTACGATCTGGTAGACACTAATGGCACCAGTTGATAGCGACAGTTGTGATAGTTTGGATGGGTTAGCAGTCAGAGAGGGGTGCCGGCTTTCACGTTGCCGAAGCGAAAGGGAGGGTTTTCAATGAGGGCAGGGCCTGCTGAAGATAACGAAATGTAGTGTGAGGAGTGCTAAAGAAGAGGAGTGGTCAACTTGGTGAATGGCGAGGTTGTTCGGGTTAAGCGAGCTGGACAATGGATAGGAAGTTGCGTGAGACAGGGAGTGGATTCCGGTTTGTTAGGTATTTTTAACTGTTTTTTTATGCACTGTTTGTGATGTGGTTTAGGTCTTGTGGAAGCTTTTGCATTTCTAACTTCTCTTTCAGTTTTTCGTTAAGAAGATTTATGGCAACATGTTTGGATTGTATCGCATATGAATGAGATCGGGAGTTTATTAGAGAATATCCTGTCAGTTAGGCCGGGTAGCTTTCGTGATGACAGATCCGGGCGTGTGACACTCGGTGGACTTCCTTGTAGTAACGGTTGTTTTGTAAGTGGCAGGCAGAGTGTAAATTATTCGCTCAGTAGCTGCAGGTTCTTGTGTTGTGGAGAATTTAGAGAAATGCCGTTGAAGTTACAACGTAGGTGATTTATTTATCTGTATTATTTAAATTGTCTAGTGCGGGAGCGATTAAATCATTAGCATGTTTTTTGCAGTTGGAATGGAGGGTCTTCGAATTGTTTCTTTGAAGTGTTGGTAATCGCTGCGAGGTGGTGTGATTTGGATTAACGTAGTTCAGTTGTACAGAGCGTTTTTTTGATGGATTTGAGGAGCAAAGGCTTGCATTTGATCATACCCTGCCAGCTGCATTGGGAACGGGGCGTTTATTTGCGCGTATACCCTTTTTTGGAATTAACGCGGAGGGAATTTCGCAAGTGTTTTTCGGTATGAGTATGCAACCGTGAGATCGCCGACCCGTTAGCAAAGATATTTCAATATTCAAAATGTATCCAAGTAGTCTCGAATGAACACTACAGTATCCACAATTTTCGGAGTATTTATGCCAACGTTTACGAGTGCAAAATTTTTCGAATCTCTCTCATCATGCAAACTTCAAAGTTTTCCTGAATAATCAGTGTCCCTGGCTAAGTTTCCTTTTAAAGTTCTTCATGAGGAGTAGGGCAGACACAGAGTTGCAATAGAAGTCTTGACGGAAATCATGGTTTTTTTTCTTGAGAATTTCAATTCCAGTTTCGGTTAGGGTAGCTTAGGGGCTAAAAACTTGTTTAGGTGTATGTTGCTGACGATCGCTCTTTCTATGGTATTTATGAACTAGGAAAATGGGTGCTAACGGGATATCGTGGCTGTTCCTTGCTTTTTTTTTTTTTGCGAAGTGCTCAAAGCTAGATCGAAGTGCGGTTGAACGAATGAAATTTTATATGGCAGCAAGAGGTGAGGGCGTAATATACATGCAGTCCTATTGATATCTTGGCGAGGTGGCGGTCATCACGGTCTCCCAGCTCCCTGGAATTCGTAGGTGGCAGCGTGTGCGGCAATGTGGCATATCTTTTCAACGAGCAGAGAAAGCGCCAGTGGGCAATAGCAATGTGAGAAAGCGTCGCGTAGGAATGGCAGTTTGTAGCAGGAATTTTCGGCGGAACAAATGAATTTATTTTGGCTCAGACGTGATTACAGTTTTCTTACAAGCAACGAAAAAAGTTTATAGTTATACGCAACGGAAGCTATCGTAATCATACACAACGACGTATGTGCGATGTTCTTATCTTTTCGAAGAATTAAATTAAAAAGTTTTGTTATGAGAAGGAAAATTGTCGAAATGGAGTGTAATATGCTTACTTTTTTTTTGGAAACATCTGACCTGTTTTGTCTGGAAATAATAAGCCATTTGGTGTAGAGTAACTGAGGATCTGTTCGATATGATGAGTGAAAAGAAACAAATGTTCCGGTTTTGATTGTAAGTACAGATGGAAAGTATTTCTCAGATGACAGTTTTACTTTTGGTGTTTTTGAACCACATTTCCTTTGTCGGTGCTTTAATGCAGGTTTTGTTTTTTCTTAACTATGGGATGCGATTATGAGTCTTGCATTTTCCAAACTTTCGGTTCTTGTTTTGGAACTTAACAATGTTTTCTTCCCGAACTTTTTGAGTGTTGTTTTGAAGCTTTAAACGCTTTTTTTTTTTTTTTTTTTTTTTT